CATCGAGTCGACATCGAGAGAACTTTGAAAGCGTTGTATACCCACCATACCTGGAAACGCAAGAAAAAAACCTTGAAATTTCAAGCTCACTCCAGTTCAAGATGCTGAGAAGTCTATTCATTTTGATTTTATTGCTGGCCATGGCTTCCGCTCTTCAGCCACAAGAGCTTAGCATAAAGGACATCGTGAAAGGTAGGTCATAAAAATATAGAAAAGAAGAGGCAAAAAATTTTATATACTACTGCGGCGTAGAAAATTTGTCGATCACACAGCTATCATGAAATTATTATCTTGTGTACCGTCAGTCAGCCGAAGTTTCCGTGGATTATTTTACGCTTGTCTGCTAAGGCGCAAGGAGCCTACCAAATTGAAATCTGTTTGAAATGACCCTTTGTATAATATTACTTTTAGGTACGGACGATCTTTTAAATGCTCGCACTGAGAACATTTTACGTTTGTAGGCTACCAACAGAATGTTTCTTGCCTGCTCTTTGGGTCCCTCTAAACATCACGCAAATTAAGCGGGTGAATTTGAATTATACTGTCGCTCCTACTCCACTTAAAGCTTTTATTCCCATGCGCTCGGTGAAATGAATGACGGAAGAACGCAAAACACAGTGTCTTTTATTTTCGTGCCAAGAATCAGAGAGTCTATCCGTGCCGACCACCAAACGGACCCAAACGACGCCCGCCAGTTTTCAAACGTTCATGCTCTTAGAAATGTTATCAACTCGACGGTTGTTCAAAAATCCGCCAAATTTACAACGGGCAATCAGGGGGGAGGTTTATGTTTGTCTTGCGTTATCTTAATGTCGCTAGCTGGTCCTAAACATTTCCGGGAACAAGAAGTCATCAGAATAACGCAAGTCAAACACCAGGTAAGCCTCATTTATTTAAATTATTTCCTACGTGTACATTTAGAACAATTTTCGAAGCATTCTCGTAAACCGGGTATATAAATGGCTATCAGCCAAAAAACGGAATTTAACAAAAACTGAGTTCATGTTAGTTGCGTCGAGACAGAAGTTGTCAACATTTCTTGAAATTCCTTCTTTCAGTATTGCCGCTTTCATGTGACGTCATCATTTTCCAAAATAAGAAATTACCAATCCCTCTGAAGTTTTAGTTTCATCAGATGTAAGACCCTTAAATAACTTGATGTTTTTCTACGTTTAAGCTCGACAGGGTTCTTCATTATGTAATAGAGCATGTCTGAATGTCCAAGTTTATGCTTTGTGTGACATAAAAGTGGCGGTCCGAGAAGGCTCTCGAGTAGGTCAAAAGATGAGTTATTGCTCAAGTTTTTGCTAACTAAACAGTTGGTGCTCTATAAAAAGTGT